TTAGGATGGATAGATGGAAAGATGGAGATTTTAGTTAGTATTGCATCATCAACAGGAGCCTATATAATGTTAGTAAAATGGATAAAAAGTATTTGGAGATGCTTTTGGTGTTGATTAGCAGTAATTACCTTTTTTATTTGCTTGCAGCAAGTCACATGGCTTATTAGATCTAAAGGTTAGGAATCCGTTCGAAGAGTAAGGAAAAGACAGCATAATTCTCAAAAAGGAACTGCCTGAGCCTTTGCATCTCACCACCATGTACAGTCACCCCAAAAAGCAATTGGACATTTGTGCACAGCAAAATGTCAAACTGATTGGCATTTATTTAAAGGGCCTATATCATACATTTTTCTTACATTTTATTTTTTCCCCATGATGTCTACTTATAATTTACTATCCTCTCTTTATCCCTTAGAAAAACAGGCTGTTTTTGTTGCTGTGCCTTTAAGATGGATATATGTTACCAAACTCATTAGCCTCATTCCTAAAGCAGTACAGGCTGAAATGCTCCTTATAATTTCAGCATGATTGGGGCGGAGCTACACTGCTGTAGGCTGATGCGAAGTGTTCTTTTTTTTTGTTTGTTTATTTTTTTATACACCACAGAAACAATTCATTAAAAAAAGAAGCTTAGTTTCTTAGTTTGAATGGACTGTATGAAGTGGGAGAGCACATTTTGGTACAATGTAAGGGAAACAGCCCCAGACTTTAACGTTTCTACCTCCCACTTTTTTGGGGCCACTGTTTTGTCTTGTTAAATGTTCATTCTTTTCCGTGTTTTCCATTTAACCCCTTTAGAAAATTACTCTGTGTACTTCAGAGTGATTGCTCATAGTAGTGGGGGAGATACTGGATCACCTGGTAAAATAGTTTAAATTTTCCTCAAGTATGACTTTTTTCAGAAACATTAAGCTGGTATGTCACGATCACAGATAATGCGACGTACAAACAGTTCAAAATATGTTTGCTTTGGCTGAGCAGCTCAGGAATGTTTCAGTCACATTTCAAATGAAAATGCAGCAGTCTCTTATATCACCTCCTGCTGTCTAGATTGTTGCATCTGAAGTGTTCCACTTTGTTTGCGAGGCAGTCGGACTTTTAAGGTTAGCCTTACGTAGACACATGTACTAACGTAGACATAAGAGCAATTGCGGTGATTTTTATCATGCCACTTAGCAATTAAGACGTGAAACAACATTTTTCCGAAAGTAGTATTAAAATAGTTTATTTATACATTTTACAAATTTGCACAACAAAAATTTTTGAGATTTAGTTGGGGGTTCTTATTAAAAAGTAAAGGCACATCCCACAATCCCACAATATAAGCCACTTTTAACCTACAAAAACAATGTTTATTTAAGCATCTAAAATGGTTTTATGTAAAAAAAAAAAATATATATATATATGTATGTGTACTAATTAGTCAGTGTTCTTTGCCTGTCCTATAATAGGCCATTTCCTATTGACCAATCTGCTGCTGGATAAACTAAAGGACTCCGCCCCCAGCAGGGTGATCAACCTGTCGTCTTTGGCACACATTATTGGGGAGATTGACTTTACAGACCTGAACTGGGACAGGAAGAAGTTTGACACTAAGAAAGCATACTGTCAAAGCAAGCTCGCCATCGTCCTCTTCACACGAGAGCTCGCCCGCAGACTTGAGGGTGTGTAAGATGGTGTGTGTGTGATTGCGTGTGTTTGTATTTGTGAATTCTGGCTATAATAGTGTGTAATAGTACAGTATTAGCCTGTTCCATTCAAAGAATCTATTACTTATGTGTGTGTGTGTGTGTGTGTGTGTGTGTGTATACTAGGTACGGGAGTCACAGTAAATGCTCTGCACCCTGGGGTTGTTGCCACGGAATTAGGTCGACACACTGGAATGCACCAGTCCCAGTTCTCCAGCTCCGTACTCAGTGAGTCGAACAACTTATCAATCAGTCCATTAAAGGGGAGCAGTTTTTTATAATTTCTTCATAAGTATGTGGTTAAGATGAAAACAGAGTCATTCAGAGTGGTTTTGTGTGAAATTGTTATGAACAGGTTGTCTGGTGCTTGAAACAGTGTTTCACAATAATTTGGTCTAAATGTAAAAAATTACATTCACCTTGGAGAGGTGCATGTCGGGCGACAGATACAAACAAAATAGTACCCAAATAAGTCTTTCTTTCAGGTTTACCACTATTTTAGCATTATTAACATTACATATAAAACTATAAAAACAAGACACACTGGTGGTTTTGGGTAGTAAGTAAAATGGCTACATTTGCATTGTAGACATCATGGCCCCTGGTTCCTATCACCACCACTGTAAAGAAAGTCAGAGTGGATAAGTTTCTCTAGAATTCACGATCTCACATCAAACCAGTCTCTATGACTTTGTTTACATCTCAACGATTAAATTATCCAGACATGTAGAAAATTAGCTGAATTCTCCTTTAATTAAGCAGACATAATTGTTAACTGTGGATAGTGAAGGAAACTAAGGAGTGGTTTCAGTACTCATTCATCTAAATAACTTGTAGGTTAACTGCAAGATTTTTTGTCCGGGAGTCCAAGAGAGCACAGTTGGCCTCGCTCTCTGGGTGGATAGGATGGCCCCCAGTCTCCCCCCATCACTCAGCGCAATGCTAGCCAGAGCAGGCATTTGTTAGCAGACATAACAGAACTGGAGGTTGCCGCTTTCCTCCAAGTGCATTTGGCTGGCCAATGACGTTGCGTGAGCAGCAGTTTGAAAAGATGCGGTGGCTCTTTACAGGTCTTGGAGGAAGCCTGCGCTAGCCTTCGCCCTCCTAGCGCTGGTGGTATTGTGTGATTGAGGGAGTCCAAACTAGTGGGTGGAACTGGATATGAATAAATTTGGTCAGGAAATTGGGGAAAAAGAAAATAAATAAATGAATTAATTAATAAACTGCAACATTTTTCCTACTTTCTTAGTTACCCTTACCTAGAGGGCACCTGGGAGGCACCACTATCCAAGTGTTGGCCCTTTTCTTTAGGAGATCATGAGTTGGATCTCAGTGATGCCACAGCCATCCATGGCTGGGATTTAAAGAAAGCATAATTGACCTCACTCTCTCTGGGTGGGTAGGATGGTCCTCCCTCTACCCCACCACTCAGCAGGATGCTAGTCACGTCTGTTAGCCGATGTAAAATAAGATGTAAAATAATTGGTAGGTACTGTTCTCCTCCAAGCGTGTTGAGCTGTTTAATGACGTTGCATTAGCAGCCGTTCTGAAAAGTTGCGATGACGCTCCACGTGTCTGGCCTTCACAGCTTGATAGCATCATGTGGTGGGTGGTGTTGGTGACTAAATTGGGAAAAATATTGGTTAAAAAAAAAAAGAAACCCTACTTACTCTTTCACTCACTACCTATTTTATGCCCTCCACCTGCCTTTTAAGTCCAGTTTATAGGTGTACATTTGGACTGTAGCCCATCTAGTATCATGCACTTTCTGTCAGCATCCTATCTCTTCTACCCCATTCATTATTGGTCATTTTCTGGTTGATTATACCTATATAACCACAAGTGTCATTGTTGTGGTCCACCACCCAAAAATATCCACCCCAAGAGCAGCTCTGTGTTCAGAACTGTCCAACGATCAAAGAACTAGAGAATAACTAACACAAACTGTGTAGCAGCAGATGAGCTACAGTCTCTAACTGTACACCAGCAAAGCCGATGCCATAAGGCAAGTTTCTAACAGAGCGGCTGGTGCACGTAAACACCTTTTATCTGATGATGTTTGAGAAGCAACTTCTGAAAGAGCCAAAATCAATGCTTGTGTGGGTGTTACTGTCCTCCTCAGGTCCGTTTTTCTACCTGTTGATAAAGTCACCTAAGCTTGGTGCGCAGCCCAGTGTCTACCTTGCCGTTGCCAAGGAGCTGGAAGGGGTGACCGGCCGATACTTTGATGTGATGACGGAGAAGGAGCCTGCCCCCAGGGCTCTGGACCAGGAAGTAGCAGTCAAACTTTGGGATATCAGCGCATCACTGGTTGGCCTGGAAACCACAGTTTCTGTGCCAGTGTCTTCAGCTGCTGTAACGATGGAAACTCACTCTCAGCCTGTGGCAGCTGACAGTACTCAGACTCACCCTGTAGAGACGATGACAACGGCATAAGAGTATTGTGATTGCCACTGACGAACTCATGCTATTAAAGAGGCAAACTGCAACATCTTACAACACTGGACAGTACTGCTATGACTGTAGTTTTGCATTGGGTTACTTGGGTTGTAGATAGATGTACTGTATTAATCCCCAGTGGGAAATTAGGGATTGACCTAAAGGTTAATGTGCCTTCCATCAGCTGGCTTCATACTCCTGGACTGAATACAGTTTTATATAACAATGTGCTATCAATGGCAAATAGAAGAAGGCCATACAGTTGTCTGCAAAAGTTTGAATACCCCTGGATGTGATCAAAGTGCATGTTTTGTTGATTTTCTGTTCATGTGTTGAATTTAACATATTGTTATTTATATACATGCATAATGCGCAATAACTTTTACACAGACTGCATTTTATTTTTTCCGTATATGTTAAATTCAGAAAATAAATATTAATTGTGATTTGTGTTAAAATGTAAAAAAGTGTGTTCTCTGAGGATGTTAACTTGTTGGTGAATGACAAAACATTTGACCAGAGGAGAGCAAATTTTTGCATATGACTTTCTAATTGTTTTTCTTGTATGTATACAAAGCTGAGCTATAGGTTGTAAAATGCGCTGCATCACCTAAATGAACTGTTGCTACTGATGGTTATAAAGACCCTTTGGATTCAATAAGTAAATAATGTGTTTATTTATACCAGAATGGGATACTACTACTACTACACAGTGGGATTACTGCAAAGTTAATCTAGTGGTGTTTAAATTCACGACACAAAATATGGTCAATAAACCTGTGTTGCCAGGTACAACGCGTTGAACTACAGCTCCCATGATGCACCGTGTAAATTGACGTCACGCCTGGAGCCCTCCCAGGTACAGTGTAAGTTTACTTTTATTTGAAATAGCTTAGTTTTTTTAACCTCAATTCAGCCGCTTATCGGACGTGCACATCGATTGAAGTGTTTTTAAGGTTTCGAAGATCAGTTAAAGCTCTGATATGTTTGCTAAATCGGACTTTTTCAGCCGTGTTTTTACGTAACAGTGAGGACAAAGTCTCCCCCCGGCTAGTGCCATGCAGTCCTTCTGTTTTTAGCGGATTACTGTATAGCTGTAATTAGGGAAAAAACACAAGTTATAAAGACGGTGAGGGATAATTTAACGCCTCTACTTGGTTTTATGTTTCCTGCTGCAGAAGAATGGCAGAAATCCCAGAGGACGTTCAGAGCGACGACTGCTTGAGCAGCTACACTCACATCTACAGTCCAGACCTGCTCAAGTAAGAGAGACTGTTACACATTTACTCAGTAAAGTGATTTACATGTCGTTTAATCTGAGTGTAAAACCAGTTTAATGTTTCAGATGCGCCATAGTTTAACGTACAAAAGCGTTTTTCCCACTCCAGAATTTTTAAAAGAATCCTGGTGGTTGTTTTCTTTTTCTTTGAATTAAGTATTAAGGTAAAGGGGCATTCCAGCCTAAACCTAGCATTTAATGTGTTATTTGTCATGTTGTGTAATATTCTCGTTTTCATCGGTCTGAGAGAATTTTGTATCCTTTCTTGCCCCCTCCCTTCAACCCCAGTAAAATGATGATATTACTTATTAACTATCTGGCTTTTCTATTAGCCAAACTTGCACACAAACAACAGTATTTACTATTTAATGTGCCAGACGTGCCATTTAAAATGTTCCAATTTAAAATCGATTTCCTGTTTAAATAACATGAATCAAATGAAGTGCTACATAAAGTGCTACACAAGTAAAAGGCTGTTCATCACAATGACTCATGCATAATTATGGTATAACATTTTGATATGACAGATGTTATCAGCATCCACATATAGTGTGAGTTCACTCAGCTGCCATTATTTATGTCATAAAATTACAACACAGATCTGCCAAAATAAAAAACAATAAATTGATTGATTGCCAATTTTGTGTTTTGAGCAAAAATCTCATTCCTATTCCAAATCATTCCTATTTCTTTTGGGCCAGTACTGCAGGGGGTCTTTAGATCTTGAAAAAGCTTGACAAAATTTCTAAATGAGACTTATTGAAGTAATCATGGATGACATCATTTCAGGAAAACAACACAAGCATCAATACAGAGCTTCAGCTAAACGTGTCTCACCTTCTCAAAGCTACAGTAATATCGCCTCAAACAGAGGCAATATGATTTAGGAACACATTCAATCTATTCCTTTTAATGTCTGACAAAACAATGTAATTGTAACGCATGTCTGTCTATGTGTGTGTGCTTTGCAGGGATCAAGTGGCCTTTATAACAGGTGGAGGTTCTGGAATTGGGTTCCGTATTGCTGAGATTCTGATGAGGTTGGTGTGCTCCCTTCCTCTTGTTTTCTAAGCATGGCATACTCAATCATTACCAACACCTTAAACTGAGTACTAAGTACTAAAAAACTAGTAGAAAGTGAAGCATTTATAACAATAAAAAAGCACAGTGTCACTACTGCCACCATGTTTGTGCTTATTGGAGTAATAAGTAGTGATATACGTTATTTTCTTGGTATATATACAGTCGTATGCAAACTTTCTGTAAATTTTTTGTTTTTTGTTTTTCAAAGTAAAAATGAGTTAACACATCCTTTAGACCTTTAGATGTGGCATTTTTCTGCAGATTTTAGTGCACAAGTTCTGTTTATTTCTTAAGCTGAACATGTGTGGGGGGTAACATATAAAAGACAAAATGTGCCAAAACTTTTGCACAGGCCATATTGTAAGTTTTGCTCTTCCCCAATATGTGAAATTCAGCCAATACTCAGTAATTGTGTATTAAGACGTGCAGAAGTGTGTTCTCTGTAAAGGAAATTGTGCTTCATGAGGTGGGCCTCTGGTGCCCTCTCATTTGCGATGGTCTGATCTCTGATGTCTGGCCTGTCTCCCCCAGGCATGGGTGTGACACAGTCATTGCCAGCAGGAATCTGGAAAAGCTCACTGAGGTATCTGCGCTCTCTCACACACACACATGTATGTAGTTGATCAGCCAAGACATGTTTCCTTCTTTATTTTTGCACTGGAACAACAAGGCTAATGTAGATAAGTAATGGAAGCTTACAGCCACCAGTTTATTGTGCAAACTGCATGCCTAATGTCATACAGTTGTCGCAAACCATCTCGAAAAATGTAGAATATGCCCCCTAGAGTTGTGAAAGGACCCATATTTTACATTTTTCTCACATTTTATTTTGTTAACATTTGTGTGGGTTTCTGTGGTCGAGCAGCTGCACACAAGCTTAAGATCACTGTGTGCAATGCCAAGCATCGGCTGGAGTGCTGTAAAGCAGGCTGCCCCTGGACTGTGGAGCAGTGGAGTCTCGTTCTCTGGAGCGATTAATTACGCTTCAGTATCTGCCAGTCTGATGGACTAAACTGGTTTTGGTGAGGTCTAGGAGAATGCTACCTACCAGAATGCATAGTGCCAACAGTAAAGTTTGGTGGAGGAGGAATAATGCTCTGTTTTTCAGTATTTTCCTTAGATCCAGTGTTAATGCAACTATGGTCATGTGTCCCACTCACATGCTGCTCACTCCCCAATCCACACAGTCCATAAATGGAAACTTAGCTACAAAAAAGTTTGTTTTGATTTCCCTGTTTATGTCATGCCCTGTCCATTCACACTGAAGTTATAAAGAGTGTTTCAGCTCTAAGTGCTTTTCGAATGAGGCACAATGCAGGACAACCAATCAGAACAAAACACACACACAGTAACAAAAACAGCCTGTTTAGTTGGAAAATGGTCGTGTAAAAATTAATTATGACTTTCAATATGTAAAACCTCAGAAATGTAATAAGTGGACCACAGGGAAAAATGGAAAATACAAGGAAAATGTGGGATATGGGTCACTTAAGTTTTTTTTTATTTTGATAACAACAAGAAGAACTTTGAAAATAACCATTTCTCTCATAGTCTTAAAGTTCATAACCATAAAGGTCTGAGTAAAACAGTTATTTTAGTGTTGTGTCTGAACTTCCTTCTGAAAAATTGAGAAAACTCCCTCACATCAGACTAAATTTAGAAATGGATTGTTGGACCTTAGCTAACATCAGTTCAGTTCTTGGAGAGAGAGGGTGAAAAAGAGAAAGGATTTTCCTCTTTGTTTTCTGTACATTATGGTTTGGGCACACTTTCATGCTACACTAATATCAAGTCCACACAATTGCAGATAAACATTTGCAGATTTATAATCTGGCCTTAAATTCATCACTTTGTTTATGTTCAGCTCTCTGCAAGGCCAGAGGGTTATTCAGGTGTTAGGTGCAGATTAGCGGCAAACAGCTTATGTCCTGCCAAAAAAGTTGTTGTTTTTTTTAGTTTAATTTACTTTCTTTGTCTGGCTTGTGTTCACATCTCAGAATGTCATTGAATGTGGTGTTTGTAGGCGGCAAAGAAGCTGACTACTGCGACGGGCAGACACTGCTTGCCCCTGCAAATGGACGTGCGTCAGCCAGACGTTGTCTCTGCCGCGGTGGACGAGGTGCTGAAAGAGTTTGGACGTGTGGACATTCTCATCAACAGTATGTCTAGGGTCACCGTAGGGGTCATCCCTACACAGAGGTCTCAGCCAGCAAGACTACTGGTGCAAACAGTGATTAAAACAGAGTTGATGCTGGTAGAATATACAGTTATAAGTTGGAGCAAAAGTAGTCAAACCATTTAGGTATAATGATTATTTTTGTTCAAGTATATTGAAGATATTTGAACTTTTCTGAGAGGCACTATATGAACGAAATTAGTTCTCGTCCTGTTATCGGCCAAAATTAAATATGTAACCATCGCTACCATCTGTTGTAAACATGCTTATTCATGTCCTACAGAGGTCGCACAGTAGTCTCTACAATGAGATGTATTTATTAACCTGTATATCAATTGGGTGACACCACAGGGATTCACAGTGGTTATATGATGCACTTGTGTAATATATATTAGGGGCACTGTTGTGAGAAAACAGTGATGAATGTAAACATGAAAATAATAAATTCAGTGAATTCTGTGAAACAGATGAGGCTGAGGATACAGAATACTACAAAACACAACAAATAACAGTATAAACTTTAGTTTTGGGTCGGAAAGCCCCATTAACAGAACATCAGGATTCCACATTGTGGTTCATGTGTGTGACATTTCCACAGTTTAGATGCCAGTGACTCAAGCTTTATGATTGGCCAATATGATTAGTCCCTCAGGTGATGCCTTTTGGGATTGGTCCCATCCAGTTATAGACAGGGGAAGGCTATAATCACCTTCGTCTTTGACGTTATGGGTACACCAACTAAAACTCACTGATTGAATTGGTTGAACCTATATTGACGTAATGTATGTGGTGCAGTCAGTGTGGGAGATGACAAAAGGAATACTAATAGGCTGTTGATGGACTTCATGCACTTCTTTGTCTCTCCTAGTCGGTCTCACTCTCTCGTATACCTCCACATGCTCAGTCGATTTCAACTACTCTGTTCTTTGTGTTAAATCTGTTCTGGCCTGGCTTTGTTTAGATGCAGCAGGGAATTTCCTATGTCCTGCCACCTCTCTTTCCTTCAATGCTTTTAAGACTGTCCTGGAGATTGATACCATGGGAACCTTCAACACCAGCAAAGTCCTCTACGAGAAATGGTTTAAGGTGAGCACATGCAAGATTTAGGGCATTTTTTTCACTGCACAAAGTGACTATTTACTTTGGCTGTCTGTTGGCTATGCTAGTCAGTACAGGCGTCTGTTAGCTGACGTAACAGAACTGGCGGTTGGTGCTTTCCTCTGAGCGTGTTTGGCTGTCCAGTGAGCAGCCGTTTGAAAAGATGCGGTGTAGGTCTTCGCCCTCCTAGCACGGGTAGTATTGTGTGACTGGGGGAGTCCTAACTAGTGGGTGGAATTGGAAACGACTAAATTGGTGGGGGGCGGAATTCCAATTTTATAGTTTTGGTACTTGCTCGATGTTGGTACCAGCAGGATTTAATGTGTGAATGTGTCTCAGGATCATGGAGGCTCCATCGTGAACATTTCAGCAACCCTGGGCTACAGGGGTCAGGCACTCCAGGTGCATGCTGGGTCAGCGAAAGCCGCTAACGGTGAGTGTGTCTTTGAAGTGTGTGTTGATTGGATTTGATAAAGGCACAGTATATATGATCATTTTATAATTTACAGTTTCTCTCTATTTTATGTATATGCGTGTGTCTTTGTGAGTGTCTGTGTGTAGATGCCATGACTAGACATTTGGCAGTTGAGTGGGGTCCCAGTGGAGTGAGAGTGAACACAGTGGCACCAGGACCCATCTCTGGGACTGAGGGCTACCGCCGACTCGGTAAGACTATATACCTGTGTGTATGTGTGTGTGTGTGTGTGTGTGTGTGTGTGTGTGTATGCGTGCCTCACGGACATAGCTATAGGGTGGCCTGGAGGGGCTTACGCTTGCTCACTTGGAAGCCACCTTTTAGATCATGACCAACTTTTGGCAGCCATCACTATGGCAATGTTTAGATGCATGCCACCATCAGTCATGTCTCACTGTGGGAACTTAGCTGAGCTGTGCTCTTTCCTAGCATAGGCTGCTACTCACCTAGGTAGCAAGCTAGGTAAATAAAAGAAGACAGCGGAGAAGACAGCAAACATTGTTCAACAACATTGAAGTCTTCAACTTTTTGCGGTTAGACTTCAACACTTAATGCTGAAAGGTAGGCCTGTGCTTAATCAGCCAGTGCCCACAGTGTTGTATTTAAATTTTCAAATTTTTAATCTTTCTAGTTTTTGTAGCTATAATGAAGAAGAATTGGCTCGTTGGTGGTTGACAACCTCTCTATTGCGATGTCTCTGGGATATAATGTTTCCTAGTTGGCTCTCCCAACCTGTAACAAGCCCCCTGCCCTTAAAATTGAATTTGGGTTATGCCACTGGTGTGTTTGAGATATAATTATTAGTTTGTTTTTTTTTGTTTTTGCAACCTGTAAGTACCATACCAGTCAAAATTGTGGGTACACCTGATTTCATGTACAATAAGGATGTGGACGTGAACATCACATCCTTATGCACCTATTGATCATCTCCTTCCAAAACAATAGGCATTAATATGGAATTTGTCCTCTCTTTACTGCTGTAACAGCCTCCACTCTTCCGGGAACGCTTTCTGCTAGATTTTAGAACATGGCTGAAAGGATTTACTTACATTCTGCCATAAGAGTGGGTGAGGCCTGGCTTGCAGTCGGTGTTCCAATTCATCCCAGAGGTGTTCAGTGGGGTTGAGGGCAGGGCTCTGTGCAGGCCAGTTATGTTCCTCCAAGCCAAACTCTGTAAACCAGACCGAAAATGATGACTATGCTGAGTTTATGGAGTCTGTGGAGACTACTTGCCTGAATGTTCAATGATGTTATGCAATTATAAGCAATGAGTGTTGCCAAACCCATGAATTAGCAGGAGTATCCACATACTTTTGTAATTAAGGTCTCAGCATGTGGAACTGTTGATCAAGAGTGTGTAAAGCTGCGTGAAGACGAAGGGAATTTTAAAGAATACCTCAAAGAATCTAAACTATTGAGATTGAATGGTGATTTGTGGCCACTGCATAATAATGTTATTTTATAGTTTATATCTTTCCACTGTTATTCTAGAACATGGAGAATAGTCAAAATAAAGAAAAGCCTTTCATTAGTGTCTGAATTTCTAATGGGTACAACATTATCATTCATTCTCTGTCTCTCATTCTGTCTTTGTCTCAGGAGGATCCCATGCAGAGAGCTCAGGAGTTTTCCAGGGCATTCCTCTACAGAGGTCCGGGAATAAGACTGAAATGGCTCACGCTGTGCTCTTCCTGGCCAGCCGCGCTGCGTCATACGTCACTGGCACCACGGTGGTGGCGGACGGAGGGGCATGGCTCACCTCGGCCAATGACGTGGAGCGTCTGCTGGGTATAACCTCCTCTCCCTCTGCTAAACTCTGAGAGACAGAGACAGCACCGCACACAGGTGTGTGAGTGAATAGGTGTGAAAGTTCATAACAGGATAAAACTGTGCTCACAAATCAGATATTGCTGTTTGTGGCTCCTGTTAATATTACTGTATAAGATTATTAGTTGTAGGCCTGTGCCCAGGGATGATAAATTGAGTTACCACAGATACAGCTTCGAGTGATGGTAAAAACTCATTTATCACCGGTTTAAGAAAACATTAATTTATTAATTTTTCCATGCTAGTATTCCCACATGAATCAGGCTCTTTGGCCCTGTACACACTTGCTATTAACATCCATCTTGAGTGATCTAATAATAAGTGGACAGAAGGACGTGTAGCCGTTTATACCTGGCATGAAAGAGCTGTTATAAATGTTAAGACCACATGACCTGCCAACGCAGCTTGTAAACAAACAGCTACGCAGCTGTTTTCATCTCTGCTGAGATGACATAGCTGATTAAGGTCTCCCTCGCTGCTGTCGAAGACGCATCAAGAAGCTTTACTACAACTGTTATGTGATCATATGCATGCCTGACCACCTCCAAAGGTGGTTTGAATGACTGGATCACAGTGTGTCTCCAAGACGCATTGTACCCTGTTCACACCTAATGATCGGTTCACTCAGCACATATACCAAGTGTGAACGGGGCCTTCAAGTATAAATCAGCCTTAAGAGGATCCTGTTACAGGCACAGGCCTAATTAAGTATGTTTACTGTCGTGTGTGTGGAAAGTGTGTGTGTAATCAACGGTTGATTGTGTGCAAGTACAAACAATTAATTAATTGGGCTAATTAATTAATTGGCTGTTCACACGCTTGTTGTGGTGCCGCATCTTTGTCAGTTCTGCTTTGCTAAAGTTCATATGGCTGCTTTCCTGTCTGCATTACTACATGTTTAATTCAGAATGGTCTCATTGATTTCATTACTCAGATCTCTGCAAATGAAGTGCATAAATTAGGTGTCTAGGTGGTTTGATTTGGATTGGCTTAATGAGCTGAATCACTTGCCTGTGTAAACTAATCAGCTAATCTATTGGTTCCTTTGCAGACTGCTTGAATACATTTTAAAGGGGCCAGAGCCTGAAAAATCTATTTTAGAGTTTGATATACTTTGTAAACATTGTTAAAATTCACCCCATCCCATACAATCAATATATGGAAATTAATAGGGGAAAAAAGCCAATTTTGAATTCATCATGTTTGTGATGTCACAACCATGAACACGTTTACATGTGACTGCCTGTTCGGCATACAGAAGGGCTGCATTGAGCACTCTGGCTATGTTCAGACTGACAGCCCAAATCCAACTTTAGGCATATCCAGATTGATTTTTGAAAAAAACACATGAATTTTTTTGCAAATCGGATCCCTATTTAATTGTTGTGTACATCAAGCTGCATGTGCAGAGGACTTTATTAGAATCCATTGTGTGCACTGCCTTTTCAATTCGGTGGGGTTTATGAAAACGTCGCTGCTGATTGAGTTATAACTCTGACACACCCATCAAACCAGAGAAAACATACCTCAAAGCTCGTTTCACGCTGTTTGGCACCATTTCGATGAAACGTCATACAACCTGGAAGCCATAGCAAAACAATGCACAGCGTTTTGACATTGAACATGGCCCAGGTTAGCTGCTCATTCACATTGAAATGCTGTGTTATTACTGCATTCCTATCAGAGTACTTGGGACTGAAGTGGCTGAAGTTTCCAATTACAGTCTGTTTCATACATTCCATACATTGCAGCTTTTTGAATGAGTCTTGCATCTTAAGGACTCAGTAGCACAACACTATTTAATTATGATGCAGAGAGGTTGGAAAATGATTTTGTAAAAATGCATTTAAAAAAAAAACAAAATATAAGGGTGAAAAAACTGAAAATGTAAAATTTGGCCCCTTTATTTTAACCACCACCAACGTTTCGAAAGCTTGACGAATTGGCTAACTGATAATGTGAACAGGTCTCCAGTCAACATGATGTAAGGCAGTGGTCAACCCTGGTCCTGGAGACCTACCCTACAGCAGAGTCTAATTCCAATCACAGTCTGCCACCTGATCCAGATAATTAACGTTTTCAGAAGTCCAAGATTGGCTGGATCAGGTGCATTAGTTTTATGTAGTGCATGTTTTGTTTCAAACTAAATTAAACAGAAATTGCATTTTAAAGTGATTTCTGATTTGCATTTGTTTTTTATTGTTTTTCTTTCCCTTGTTGTGTCTGTAGGTTTCTGGTCAGCAGAGAAGAGGAAGGACAAATAGCCTGATTTAAAGGGAGGGAGATGGAAAGAAGTAGAGAGCTCACTCCCTGTGTGCCTAACCAGATCAAAACTGTCCATAATATACATTGAGTATTGAGAAACATTTCATTCGGCTGAGCCATTTCATCACGTGTTGCATGATGGATATTACCATCTCAGACTGGCTCATTAAAAGTCCAACTTTGCCTTTCAAGTTGGGTTACACGTAATTCTTAAAATCTAAAGCCTAGTAGACTGATTTTCCTGATTTTAATCCAGACCAGTAACCTTTGAAAACTGTTTGCTCAGTGTTCTTAATGAACATAGTTCTATTCGTTTATATCTGTACTAAACACTACATGTGAGGAGATTGTAATAATGGAAATAACTGGAGAATTGCAAAGAGGATTATCATGCATTTCTAAGCATTGTACATATAATTTCAGCTGAATGCAGTTTGATAGTGTACGCAGGTTTCATAATAAATCTTTTTATAATTTATGCTCCATGGTGTTCTGTTCATCTGCAGTATTTCGCTGTAGCCACTGGATGTCGCTATTGGGAAGAAACTGAAAGGGCCACGTTCGCGCTAAATGAACTGAAGGACGTTCAGGCAGCTAACGGTTAAAATATGAGACGTGGTCTGGTTAGATGGTATTTTTAGAGAGTCACGAAAGAAATATGTCAGCCTCGCCTTTTACATTCAATCCAGCATCGCTGCTGACATTCTGAACATTTTGGCCAAAGTAAGGCCATCATACCAAAAACGCCGAGCCGATTAGAAAATTGTGCTGGACGCCTGTGGTTGTCCGTATCGGACAGACTGCGGCGTGTGTGTGTGTGTGTGTGTGTGTGTGTGTGTATGTGTGTGTATGCGGCGAAGCAGCACAGTAGTGATGGGCAGAATTACGAGTCACTTCACTGATTCGATTCTTTCGAGCGCGTTTGAGTAAATCGAACTAAGCGAGGTTTGATTCTTTTGATTCACGTTCGGAAATACTGTAGGCTATCATTTCGATCATTAACCCACTCGTTTGGTCCTGTTGTTTACCCCAGAGTTAAACAGTAACTATTAACATTTACCCCTTTTGGTAATTGAAGTATTTTCAAATGATACATCTGCTCATACTCGATTATACTTGTGAGGAAATAATCTACGTTTTCTAGAACAATCTGTGGTTCCACCTTTAGTCCCTCATATTTAAGCTTTAACTGTTTGTGTGATTAAATTCGTTCTGTTCTGTTAGACTGCTCTTTTATACTCACAGATCCAGTTCATGTGCTGGAAGAAACTAGATGTATTAAGAAATGCAGTACTCACTTAAAGATGGTTGTTCAAGGGTTCTTTAGTAAATGGGATGGTTCTATTTAGAACTATGAGTTATACACAGATCACCATCACCCACCACATGCTTAAATGGTTCTTTGCATGGTGAGATGGTTCTTCAGATTGATGGAGAATGTGTTGTATATGGTTCTATATAGAACCTTTTTGAAAATGGTTCTATATAGCACCATATACAACACACCATCAATCTGAAGAACCATTTCACCATGCAAAGATCCATTTAAGCATAAAATGGATCTATATAGAGCTCACAGTTCTAAAAAGAACCATTAACTTAACTAAAGAACCCTTATCGAACAATCGAGTGTTTACCCTTTTGAAAAAAAACCGTAGAAACCATTAAGCGTTTCTGTTGGTTCTTAGTTATGTAAAGTGTTTCGGCTTTTTTGATAGGTTGATATCACAATGTAAAGGATCCTTATGGGTTAATAGGTGATTAGTGACTGTTTCTAAATGCATTTAATGGTTTCCTAATGAGATCTAAATGTGTTCTACAGGAAACTAGTGGTCTCTTTTGGAAAGCATTAAGCCAGTTCCCATCAAAAAGCAAAGAAAGGAGTGGTCCTTTTTCAGCTGGGCTATAGAGACCTCGGTACCTCAGTAGCTTTTCTGACTTTTTTTTTTTACTCAAGCTGGTTTTTGGTAGCCACTTAGTTCTACATGAGCCATAATTTCAGTGCAGTAACAGTATTTTTACGTGAATGTGATTTCTGGCTCCTCTGCCCACAACACAACCCAATTACGTTTGCGAGTCGAATCTTCCGACTCGATACGTTCAGAAGAGTCGGTCAGAAAGAACGGTTCCTTCGCGAATCGCTCCTCACTGTTTCATAGCTGCTGCTGCTGCTGCTGCTGCTGATGCCAATGTTATCCATCCACCGTAAAGGAAGACGCCTGGTTTGAAACCCTCCCGATTACGGACACACCTCGCCCGGCGCTTGAAGGATCAAATGGATAATGCTTTATCTAAAAACAGAGGATTATCAGTTTTTCTTTCGACATTTTTCATCTAATCCGAGCTAAATACGAAGCACAGGTGGACGTCTCGATTCTGGACCGCTGGCCTGGGGAATCTTGAGGAAAAACACCGAGAGGAAAAAGCAACAAAAATCTGTCCGTTTACCAATGTGGTCGGGACAAGTACAAACTATTATGTGTTGCCTGTCAAGGGGACAAATGTTTGCCGAGAACGTACGTGGTTTTATTTCCAGATAAATCAGTGTTTTCCTGCACTCCGCTTTCCACAGAAGGATGCTGCTGCCGCTGTTAGCCTGGTTTAGCTTAGCCAGCTAGCCGCCAGCGTTAGCGCTCAAATCCCTAAACTGATTTACAGACTTACACAGTCTGTCGCCTACAGAGCCGGCTAATGACCCTCATAAATACAGCCAATTATCCTCGGGCTCCTTCACATGAGATATATACTGTCAAAGCTTTTGGGAGACGTGGTTTTAACGGTTATTCAGGGTACCAGATCTGAGGACAGGTTAGCTAACGTTAGCTAACGTGACTAAGGTGGGTTATTGCACAGTAATAATACTTAATATATTTAAACTTCCAGTCTTAATATGCCATTCAAAACTGGTACGTTTCGTTTATAATAGAAACCCTGCAACCACGGTTTGGTCTGATAATTTTTTCCTGAGTGAATTCAGTGTGTGGAGTGGCAGTCACGTTACTGAGGCGTTTGTTTGGCATAGATGGTTTAATTATCACAGTGACGTAATTATTTTCGGGTCGGTGTGAAAGCATGTATATATTCATGAAGATGTTTATAAGAGTCATACTGATGTAGGACACACCCCTGACATGTTTCCGAAACAAATGACATTAATTTCCATGACTGGTGTTGACTCTTTCTTTCCCTTACTGAACAGAGAAGTCAGTGTTTGCATACAGTCTGTTAACCACAGTTAACACAGAATCTTCTTTCACCCTGTTTTGTGGTTATAATGTTCTAAAAATGTTCCTTTATTTTTCATTTTTTTGTAATGATAACGTTTTCGACTTGTTATATTAGGTTTAGCTGTAAAATAGGTAACCCTGTTACTTTGTTGTCTAATCCTATTTTATGATTTTGGGATTGTGTTGTGGATCAGGTCGCTTTAAAAAGGCTAAAGTGGAAAGGATTAGATGTGTGTTTGCACACTGGATGAGGAAGCGTTGCCAAAAAAAGGCCCCTACTGTTCGGCGGCGCAGCTTTGCACGTCATTTAAATGAACTCACACTCCAACTGTAGTGAAACAAACATTGTCACTCTCATGGAGTGAGACAGTTTTAGTCTTGTATGCAAGGTACGCATGGATCTCAGCGATAATATTCCGGCTGGCGGACTAGCTGTAAGAGGAAGCAAATTGACTTTGAATTCCAAACATTATTGTTCAATGGAAATTTAAAAAAGGAGATATCTGTGGAGAATTTCAACATCAGGGGAGAGGAACAGGGCTCCTAAATGGAGCAGGTTCTCTCCAGCCCGCGAGGTCATTCCGACTGGGAATCAGACCAAAATTCTCTTGGATTTTTGCTCCTGGATATGGATAGTGATGTAGTTACTGGCAGCCCTAAAAATGCAGAGAGACATCAGAGGGGAGAACCTGGCATTGTCTCTTTAAGCTTTGATGAGATTTTCCAGGAGAATGGCTTCAATTTAGATGAGCTTTTTCGGGCATCCCGGTATTCCGGATTAGAGCAGACCTATCCCTGGGAACGGAGTTCGGAATGTGTTTCTCCAGAATGGGATAAACAGCCTCCTCAGCCCCAGGAACTAGCTGTTGAGGGTTGCTGTGATGCATCTGGAGATGTGGACACTGGAGATCTCATCAGTTTCAGTTCCTCTGCCCCCAGCCCTACGCACACTAGCACATCTATGCAGGCAACAAGGCAGGGCTCACCTACCCAGGGTATGGACCTCCTGCAGTCCATTTCAGTGGCTGACACAGGTTGCCCTTTAGATTTATTTATAGGGCAACTTCCTTTAGAGCCTTTGCTGGATAAGACACTTTCTCAGTCCATTCCCCTTCCGCGGACTACAGTAGTTGAGAACCATCTGGGCTCACCTTCCCAGATGAGTGATCTGGAGCAGGATCTCTCTCAGAGCACACCTGAGCAGGTAAGAGACCCCCTGGGTGTCGACTTTACAGATGTGCTGGATCTGGCTGAGGCTTTCTCTGTGATGGAAGGCTCAGGTAGGACTACGTCTTGGAAACCTGAGCTTTCACCGTTATGTCTGGCTCCCTTGCCCTTCATTTGCCCCTCCTCTTCCTCGCCTCCCTGTTTTTACCCCGACCTCCCAGATAGACCTGCTTCCCCAACATTGTGTCTAGGATCACATGTCCAGCAATGTAACGGGAGCTGTGCCCTCCCCCTGGCGCCTGATGCAGAGCATGCAGGGATGTCCCCAGAACAAGAGTCTGATACACCTTTGGCTAGTAATATTATAACTGACTCCACACATGAGATTCAGGCTGAGGCACACTCACCTGTAGATCTACTCGAGTCAATTAATGAAAGAACTACATCAGATTCAGTGACCATTTCTGGGACGCTGCTTGAGTCCATATCTCCTGGCCCAACTGCACCTAGTCTAATCGAGGAAAGCTCACCAGACCTCAGTGCCGAGAGTTCTTATGAGAAAGATGAGATTCTGGAGATGGAAGAAGAGGTGCAGAAGAAAGACATCTTACCTGATGCGGTACCTAAGGACGCTCCAGTACATGACCTTGAATCGGTACTCACTTTAGCTGTTCTCTTGGTTTCACCTGAACCTGAGAAAGCAGGTCCAGTGGAGTCCACGTTAACCTCTTGGGACGTAATACCTGAGAACAGCAGGGAGACTGAGGATCTCTGTGTGAATATGCACATGCCTGAGACAGACACCACCCTGGAGACTCCATGCCACTTAGATGGAGACTCTGACCTTTCCATATTGTGTGACACCATACCTTCAACACCACCTGCTGATGACATCCAGAACCCTGAACCATTTGCCTCTGAGAAAGAGACACCTTCAGATTTTCCTGATGCCTCTGAGATTCAGTCACATTCTGACTCCTCCACTGCATTGGAGACAAGAACACTTTCAGTCTCGCCTGTTGTTCACTCTGCACTGGATATCTCACCTGAGGCATTCACGGAGCTAACACCTGAGACTGAAACAATCTCACCTGACTCTGAAATCCAACCACACAAATCACATTCCAACATGAATAACTTTCTTGAGGACACAGGGGACAAACAGACAATCAACACATGCTCAGAAGACTTAATAGATGAAGTCCCACAGCGTCTCTGTGCAGTGGATACACACCCTCTCGCTCCTTTTCTGCATGCTCAGGAGGAGCTTGCTCGGCTGTGTCAGTCAGATAACACCTCAGTAAACTCCACGACTCAGCAGTGCTGTCATGACCAAGGTGGCAGTGCAACTGAGAACAACCAGGTACTAAAAATACAACAAGCATCTGAGGACCTTTCCATCAGTGACAATAACTGTGAGCACACACACACGCAAGAGGCTACACCTGAATATGTATCTCAGACAGAGCCAACTGAGAATGAAAATGCTCAGAGCCTCACAGCTGAGAATCACATTATGTTTGATAATGACAATCAGAACACCCTCACACTGGCTGCCTCAGCTGGGGAGAACAGTGTGGATACATCCATAGTGAACTCAACTGTCCTGGAAAACTTGCCTTCAGATTCAGCGTTACCTGCACCAGGTAGCCTGACATGTGAAGTTATGTGTGTACAGGAGGAAGAAGGAGAGGACAGAGATAATGATCAGGATCAGGTGACCCTTTCCTCTGAGAGTGTTCCCAGCCCTGACTCCATGCCCCTCTCAATTGCAGATTGTCAGCTGACCCAGGTGGGTGTGGTTGTGGAGCAGGGGAGGGGAGGGGCCACATTAGACTCAGCTGATGTGAGGGCAGAGGGGGAAACTGATCTACCTGTCCAGTGCACACAGGTAGACTTGCCTCAGGTATCATACACACTGCCAAACCCATCTCAGATAGCAGAGCCACAGGTAGACTCTCCCCTGCCGCTCAGACAGGAGTCTCCCAGCGGAGTCTGCCCGCCAGAGGAAACATGCACGCCTCTGATGGAGGAGAATATCGATGTTCCTGACGTTCCCAGTCATGCTGAAATGGCTTTGGACTTGTGTGTGAGCTCAGATGCGCCCCAGGATGGTAGTGTTGCTGACAGCGCAGTTCCTACAGCGACCCCTCAAGATGAGGATGATTCTGCGTTGCGGGCTGTTTTTCAAGCTCTCGATCAGGATGGAGATGGATTCGTTCGCATCGAGGAGTTTATGGAGTTCGCCACAGCATATGGAGCAGAACAGGTGAGAACTGTGTGTATGTGTTTTCATAGTTTGGTGTCATTTGATTTGAGAATTGTTGTAAGGTAAGAATGTACACTTTACTTTGTTCTGTTATGCATTGTATCAGTACATTTGGTCATGTTTTGTTTAATCGGTGTCTGTGTGTATTTAGACAAGCTAAAAGGCCAGCAGATTAGAAAAGGCTAACAGCAGTGCAAGGGTAACCGAATGCTTGTCTTAATCAGATACAGGCAGCAGTAATGAGGTCAGGGCAAAATGTGTCTCACCCACACCTGCATTTACTATCTGATGTCCTGAAATCTTCACAATGGCATTGTTAAGATGGTAAGGGTATATCACGTAAACAGAACATAGTTTTGTGTGATCAGCTCTTTTTCGTTCTTGCTCACTTTTTCAAATTTGTTCATATCTGAGAATGATTTACAGGTAGAGAAGGATTTGCGCTTGTGCGTGTACGTGTTTTCCTTTGGTCACAATATGCTCAGGGAAACTTGAGCATGGTGACACCCAAGAAGATCTTATTTATTATTCACACCCTCAGAGACTCAGTACTCTAGTCTTTGTCTTTGCTTCTTTCTCTCTCAGTCACAGCAACAGAAATGTATTTAGTTTTATTGTTTTGTGACCTGAATTACTTTTACATTGTGATCATTAGATGCCTGTGTGTTTTTTTTTTTGTTTTGTGTTTGTCATGTTTGATACAGTTGTGCTTTAGATGTTATGTGGCTTCTTCTTTAGATGCATCTGTCTTCTTCCATTTCCAGTGTTCCATCAGTGGTACCTGGATGGATATAATGATGAAGGGGGTGTGTTTGTTTGCTTGTGCATGTGGGTACACAGGGAACTAATAACAGAACAGGACATGCCACATCTGGTTGGTTTAGGTGGTCCCATCCTGCAGTAAACAGTGGTTAGTGTGTTTGTATATATATATGCATGTGTACATGTACCGCATGTACACCACGTTCTCAGTAACAATCTGGAGACCTGCGATATTGCAGTTTCATTGTTTCTCTCCTCATACACTTCAGCTTTCAAACACATTTCCAAGAACTTATTGAGCTCTACAGCATGAAAGCATAGGGTGAATGGGTTCCCTGGGCTGAAGCCCTGGAGTATTGTGTATTTTGCAGGTCAGTAATAGACTGAAAGTCCTGGTGTATTGTGTATTTTGGAGGTGTATTGTGTATTGTGGAATATTCGTTTGTTGTGGTAAGGTTAATCAGAGAGTTACACATCACTTAGCTTTTTAGTGTACAAGTGGGAATAAATGAACTGTTTAACCTGAAACTTTCAAGGTTAGATGTTTGAATAATTTATTATGCTGTCTTGATAATCCTGCAGTGTCTGGTTAGTGAGTTTGTACCTTTTGTAACGATATAGGCCTTGAATAGAACTTCAGTTTGAAAAACTGTATTAGAAGCAAAACTGTACAAAAATGTAAGCTTGTAAAAGTTACAATGATTTATGTATATCTCTTATTTTATATTTGTATTATTATATTAATAGTTTTTTATTTCTGTATTATTATTTGCTTGTCTGGACATTTGGGAGAGGGAAACATTTTTACTTTTAGTTTGTTTTTTTGATGTTTTCAATCTGTGGCATTGTTATATTTAATCAGTGATGTACAGGTTACAGCAGTGATGCACAGGTAACTTTTTATTTGTTTGTTTTGTTGATTTCATTAGTATGGTTAGTTTATTATTATTATTTTTTGCAGTAGTTTGCATTTTAGTTGTAGCTTATTGCAGTAACCCTGGTGTTTGCCATGCTCTGTTAGTAAACTTAGAGCTAATCCTGGACTGGATTACTGTGGCTTTCTCAAATGTGCTGTCCACTGTGTGTAGGTGGGGGTGGGAGTGTGTGGGTAGATGGATTTGGTACAGGAAGTCTGGCTCTTTTGTAAAACCTGAAAAAATGCTGATGTGGACATAGGAATGATTAGATTGGCAGGTTGGAGAGAGAGGGAGAGAGTGAATGGAGAGCTGGATGGAGACTTGAATAAATTGTTTTTCTTTTCTCTGTTTCACAATGATTGAGAATAACAATGACTGACTGTTTTCTACGTTTGCATCTAAATTTTTTGAGCTGCTCTGTAATGCATCTCGCACTGTGGTGGTAGGCTCTGGGGTGGAAGATGTGCAAGGTTTTTGCCCTCCTTCATTGGTGGTGCTGTTGTGTAATGGGAGAGAGACGTGCAGTACAGCAGTAACTGGTTGTAATTAAAACTGGTTGTAAGAAAAACAAAAAACAGATGTTGCTATCAGCAGAGCTCCGAGTGGTGTTCCTCTCCCCGCCTTCCTGCTGGCTCTGACGGCCGCCATCAGGGCCCAGTGGATGGGTGCACACCACAAATGCTTACATCATTTTGTTTGTTTTTAGGTATTTGGTTTTGTTGGCTGTGTGGACTGTACTCGTGGTATCCAGAACCTGACAGTCAACTGCAATGAGTGCTTCCAACTATTTTGAGATAAAAAGTTTGAAATCTATGAAAATTAAATGAATAATAAGTTTCTTTTTTGGAAATGTGTCGTCTTTCTGGTTACATTTACAATACTGTGTGATATATTGTGTAACAGCCTTTTGAAAGAGAAGAATTTTATTATAACAGAAGAAAACAAAGTTTGTCAGGTTCGTAAGACATTCCTTACTAAAGACCATTAGTGAGGTCAGGTGCTGATGTTAGATGATTAGTTCTGGGTCACAAACAGCGCTCCAGCTCATCCCAACGGTATTAAGGATTCTTCCGTCATTTCCAGGAAGCACTGCTCCACAGCCCAGTGGACCTCTTTAGCTGTTGCTTGGCATTAGCTTGGTGACCTCAGGCTTATGTGCGGAATTCACCAATTGAAAGGGCTGTCATCTGTCTAGATACTTTTGAACATACAGTGAATCGTGATATTGAATTATATCAATGTCACCCAGCTTAGTGAAGAAAAATCATTTTATTCTCTACATCTCTTCATGTGAGAGGACATTTGTATATTTCTTTGAGGGAGACGTGTGTGTGTGTGTGTGTGTGTGCGCGCGGGCGCACTAATTTTGCTGATGCTGATGTCCTACAATAGTCTGGCTGTAAACATCGTGTGACTGCAGAATGATCAGTTTTAACATTAACACCACAGTTGTATAAGGAACACAGCCAGTGTCACACAGTGTTACCTAGTATTCTCTCTTAGTTTACGCTTGGACTAAACTTATGTCCCTGTGACCTCTGGACCTTACAAGGCTATAAATGTGTGTAAGTCTGAGCTTGTACATAGTCACAGTCCTGGCCATTATTAGAGAACTTGACATTTTCTCCCATTATGTGCTGTATTCCTCTAGTGATTATTGAGTTTGCTTAATGTAATTGCTGCTTTCATGATTGAATAGTATGAGGAAGAGATGTCTGAAAGAAGAGAAATGAACAGTTGTATGAAGACTAAGGACAGCATACTTTAAGGGGGAGCAGTCTCGCTTGGCTATTTTTTTAGTAGCAGAAGGTCCTGTGACATGCCAGAGCTTTACTATCAAACCCGTTTTAGAGAAAAAAGTGAGGAAAAACTGGAACAATGACAAATTATGTATTGTATTTTCTGTAATGAAAATGTTCAATATCTGTAGAAGTATACTGCTAAACTGTTATTGTAAACATTTATTTAGAGGACTGGACAGTTGATCAGGACTATTTGACTATGTGAGTCTCCTTTAAACCAGTGTTTCCTATCTTAGTTCTGTGTGATCTTCAGAAGGTTTATATAGGCCCTGTTTGCACCCTCAGAACGCAATGTGATTAGATTACGTTAGGATCACTTAAACCACATTTGGAGGCGGTCAGAGACGGATGTTGACCACAAGTGTAAACGTAACGTGTTTCCGTTATCCGCATACAATTACAGGTGAGCTGGTGAGGGAATAAATGGAGGATACGCGAGGCTGGAGGATGCGCGAGGCTTGCACTCTGAGCAGTTAAAAGTGTGTAGTTCATACTGTTAATGGAGAAAAAGTAAAAAAAAAGAAAAAGGGAAATAGCTTTTGTATTGACGTGCTTTTAACACAGGTAGAGCGCAGTCGTATGTCATCCGGTCCCACTAGGGGCTCATTTTAGTGCAACGTCTATATGGAATCTGGCCAAAATATATCCACGTGTGATTCGGACACAAGACACATGTTAGTAAAAGGTGTAAATAGGTTTGTTTTTGCTCTGTTCCAGCTCAAGTTACACCTGAACCAGACTGAACCAAAAAAACTGAATACTAGGTGATCCTGCTATGTGCTGGGAGCTTGGATGCTGCAAAAATGTGGGCCATCTGGGGGTCCCTAAAGACAGGACTGGGAATTACCACCTTAAAGCTGCTTCTGCTAAAACAGAAATCAGGAGTCACATATATTACTGCCAGTGTTTTTTGTATTGAAGACCTCACAGGGCTCGAAAGTAGTGGTTGGCCACTTGTCAGAGAAAAAGTAGAAGTTGGGATAACACTTTGTTTGGAGTGGGCCATTGCAGATGATTACCAAACTCTTAACAGATGGTCAGTAACACGTCAACAACATATCAGTGAAGTAGCAGTAGTGCAGCTTCTGAATACAGTGAAATAAATTGTTAGAAACAATAGATTGTTAATATGTTGCTTCCATTATGCAAAACCTAACCTTACCCAACCTTACCCAAACCCAAAACCCTAACCTTAGCCCTAATCTTAACCCTAACCTTAACTTCAACCCTAAACCTAATCCTAACCCTCATATGTTTTAGACATGTTACTGAGAGTCCACTGAGTGTTTGTTTCATCTAAAAAGACCACTCAAAATAATGCCAACAAAGTTTGTGTCGTATAAGTGGATGGTGAATTTATTTGTCTGACCAGACAATTAAAAAAAAGCCACAACATTTTTTTACAAAACACTTTAAGAATGATAACTTCAGCAAACACCTTAAATGTGTGGGTTACCCAGAAGGGTAGCCTACCAAGAAGCATGCACATTGGTCACGAACAGCAACAACGTTTATGTCT